TGTTAGCCTTGAACTCAGCAATTTTTCTGCCTCAGATCTGACACCATAATGTTTAGTCAACTACAGAAGAAAGGAAACAATCGTGGTTTGAATTATCCACATTCTCTTTCACATAAAGCCTAGATAAATTAAATTAACATTTTTCTTTATTCCCAAGTCACAGATTATCATTCTAGGCCAACAATGTGTTGGCCTTTACTAAGGTTGGATTAATTGCCTCATTCATTCACTGAATCCTGCTGTTACTTTACTACCTACTACTATTTGGTAATAGATATGTTTCTTTTCCTGAAAAGAACACAAGTAACCTTTTATATTTAGCTCAGCAACTCAGATTTGCCGGAAGCAAACAAACATAAGTCATATGATAACAAAAGTGATTTGAGCTTCCTGAGATATCATTGCTATCTTCTTTCCCAGCCCATTTCTAGCATAGCTGTCATGTTGTCCGTAACCTGTGTTTCTCTGAATAATCCGACCATGTGTGCTGCAGTTTAATTATGTCCTTCTGCTTATCATTGTGTATAAAGTAACCATGCTGTTCTTTCCTCTTACCTAAAAACCAAGTACTGCTCCTCAACAGTCACCACCTCTTATGTATGCTGTGACTTCATCATGTGTAAGAAGCCTTCTTTCTAAGATGCCTTTCTGCCCTTGATCTCAAATGGCACATCCTTCACGGTCATTTTGTATCAGGCCTTCTTTGCACCTCCTACGCGTCCTGACTGGCTGGTCCCTGCTCATGGCTTGGGTCATCCATGACTTTGCCTTCTGCCACAGCCATCCCACCTCTTGCAAAGCATCAGCGTCACATTCTCCTCTTGCACAGAGGTCTTCACCATTTTCCAGCTGGAGGTTTTCAGTTCCACCCCCAACTCTTTCTCGCAGTGTTTGTTTCATGTTTCTTACAGCAATCTCCTACAGCAGAGCATTATGCTTGGTGGTTTTCCTACCTATTTGTTTTGTTTTTACTGTACTGCTTATACTTTAAAGACAAAGATTCCTATCTTTGGATCCGTTCCTCTCATGGAGAGGTTTCTGTTGTTTTTTTTAAAAATTAATTTACTCAATTGCTCTGAATCAGACCATCCTGCAAACTGAACTCTGTATAAGTTTTGCAAATTCATTCTTTGGGGGGTAATTTTTATTCTAAGAAACTAATGTGGTTTTTGGTTTAGAGTCATGGTTTAAGTTGCCCTTATGAAGAATGAAAAGCAGCTGGTGTCCAAAAGCTCCCTGGAAATTAGTCAAGCACCTAACTGAAGAAAGGGGGCTAAGAGTGCAAAGGTTTCACTGGCACATTTTAGTTCTATCTGCACTGCTGCTTATGTAAAAAGGTTCTGTTTTGGAAAAGTAAGTATTACACACAAGGTGTGTTTTATTAAGTCACAGGCACTATATAAATATGGTTTATAACCATTTTGTGAAAGTAAACCTTGATGCTCAAATTTCTTTTGTTTCATTTTATTGTACACAGTCTAAGACAATTACTTAAAGAATCTGATTTTAAGAGGTTTAAAGGATTTAAAAATACTTGTTTTATTTCAAGTATGTGATGAAATATCACGATGGGGAAATGCTAAAAGAATAATGGTATCAAAATTGGTGTTGTTTATAAACATGTAACATTTGGGGTTTGGTCTAAATGTAATAAATAATGGGGGCCCATTGTCTATACACAAAGACTTTCAAAGCTCAGTAGAGAAATGAAAGAGAACAATCATTAACTTAGCACCCAGTAGCCCTAAGATGAGAGAGTTGGCAATAAGTGCCCACAGGACTGTTTGTCAAGCGTGGTTGTGATACGAACATAATAAAGATACGGAAGCGACAGAGAGCATAGCACCTCAGTGGAAGGATGAGGTGCACATAGCTGTGGGTATGAAAATGTCCCCGAAGGAACTGGGATTCTAATACAAAAGTCTTGAAAAGGGCGGAGGATGAACTAGTTAAGGAGACTGGATTAGTTAAGTCTACCTCCGATAGAGAGAAACTGGACAAATGGCTCAGCACATTCTAGAATAAAGGAAGTCCAAGGCAGTCTAGCACAGTTAGGGATCTCTGAGTCGAAGCCAAGTATTTCTGCAGCAGATACCGAAGGGGATTATTTGAGCCTGCAGCGGGTGACTCAGAGAGAAAATATTTGTTAGGTAGTGTAATAAACATACCATGAGTTTCTGAGGTGTATGCTACAGGTTAGGAACTGATCTAACTTCCCAAATGATGCCAATTCAAATCAGTGTTGTCAGTTTCCACTGAGATCCAGGTTTCCACTTAGCTTAAACACTGAGTCATTCAGAATACCTGCACTAACCTCTAAGCTACCTATTAATACATGCCTGCCACTGAATTTCACCACAAGGCACCCAACCGCAGCAATTCTATTGATGGATTGAACCATAGGATAAGGAAAGGGAGGCTATTTCTAAACTTGTCAGTTTTCTCTACCTCTAGTCCTTTGCCCTGCTCTTTCCTCTGTGACTCCCCTCATCTGTGAATAGGAATTCTCTTCCACCTGTCCAAGGCCAGTCTCTCCAACAATCCCAGTGAGTGACTCATCCTGGACATGAGCTTTATCGTTGTAACCTCATCACTTTCTAGCCTGCTCTTGCCGATTCTTTTATCTGGTTTGTTATTTTATTACCATCCATAGGCCAAGGAGATTTGTTGTTTTTGTTCAAGAATGTGTGCTAGTGGCTTAGAACAGTGCCAACACAAGGTAGATGCTAAGTAAGCACTGAATATGTAGGCCTTAAACCACAGATTTTCACATGGTCCTTGTTTTGCTTTATAGAGCATAGTGTTTCCGCTATGGCTTTTCTCTGCATTCATTGAGCTAAAGAAGATTTCTGAATATGTACTATATAATTATCCACTGTGTTGGGTTATTGCAAAATAAATCAGATGTAAAAAATTCTGATACCTGAGAAGAAAGCAACGAGAGAATGATAAACAGAACAAGAACAATTTACAATCTCTTCTGGAGCTTTTCTGATAACATATTCTGGTATTCTCAGAGATATCCTTCAATGGACATATGAGACCCCATCCCCAACCCAGTGCCAGTCTGGACAGCATCATTCTTTGATCACACCATCTGGGTTTAGTCATTAACATTTCTGGGTCTACATGATTTCACTTGGAAAATTGTGATCACAATCCCAACTTCAGATGGTGAACGTGGGTTATCAAATGAGGTCATCAGTGGAAACAGCGTGGGCTCTGGCACATAGAAGCAATTAAACAAATGCATATGGAGTGATGTAATTCTTGATAAGAGGATTTTTTTTATTCTACCAAGTTCTGTGTTCTGCCCATGCTACTACTGGTGACCTCTTTGACCTCAATATTATTAGCGTAGTGAGTTACATTATCCCATTATTTATTAATTGCTTATTGTATACACTGTTAGGACCGGTAGGCAAAGTGGGTCTTAGAACCACTGAGGAACTTGTGTGAGTCCATAGTGAGTGACTTAGCCATGAGGTATAATCTGGCTCAGTGGTCATGGTCTTCATTCAAGGTTTTGTATCAATGAGATCATAGCCAGAAAGCACTCCTTGACCTTGTAGGCTAGGTACTGTTCCTTACTGAGCTCACATAGACCTCAGTGTTTACTTCTTTCACAATCTATAATAGCTTTTGAAACATATTTGCTCCTCTAGGTCTAACTGCAGCCCTCCGGCATGTGGGCAGCTGTTTCTACTTTGGGAACTTGAGTTAGTTCTCACTGAGTCCCTTTCACAGAAAACTCAAGGAAACTCATTGAAGTTTACAGAATGACTCTGTATCTGTGAGTTCTGATTTTATTTCTCTGCCCTTAACTCATATAGTCCTTACAACAGTCCCTTGGGGCAGATGCTCACTGCATACTTTTCTTAGAGAAGATGAGAGCAGAACACACTAAGTAAAGCACTTATGCCACCTAAAAGGACAGGACTAGAACCTCAACATTTAGACTCCAGCATCCAAACTCTTAATAATGACATGATAATACCCAAGACTGATTATAACCTTTGTTAGTTTAATAAATTCTAGGAAAGGTCATTTTAGGACTCTAAATTAGACGACTTTCATGAACTGTGATTCCCTAGATTTATTTGCTATGTCTATTTTTCTTGTGACATCGACACTAGCAGTTGGTCAGGTACAAACAACCTACTTAGAAAAGCAAATGGTTCTAGACGCTGACACCTGTTGGTGGCCTTCATTGCATTAAACAAACTCCACACTGTGATCTCGTAAAGTGAAACCCTTTAAATCATAACTTTGCATGACTTCAAAAGCAAAAAAGCTTAGCCAGACTCGTTCCTTTTAATACCAGCTTAATATTTTTGCTCTCTAAGTGAAATGATTTAAACATAGTCTATTTTTAAGAGCAGGCAAAGAATGTGTTCATGGCAACTTGGAACTGTGTGCAAGTAAGTGTACTGGCTTCCCTCTTATCTGAAGGACTAAGTCTTAAATCACAGGGAAGAAAGAAAAGAGCCAACGTGTTCTCTCAGAATACAAATAGACTAGTGTGGGTGAGAGCTTTGTCCAAGAACTGGGAGAGACACCTCGCCAGGAATAAATCAAGCACATGAAACCTTCAATTTCAAGAAAGATTCTCAAGAAATGTTTGAACTGATAAATATGACTTTTAGATTCAGAAAACACAGAAAAAAATCCCCATGAAATCTGCTTGGAAAGATGGCTTTGCAAATGTGGGCAGTCAGCATACCCCCCCCCTTTTTTTCTCCTTACAGAAGACGTGGCTTGTCAGGATTATGAAACTCACAGAAAAAAAGTCTATGTACATCCCCTCCCATGTCTCTCTCACATACATTAACTCATGAAAGAACACAATTTAACACTTGGGAGGTATGCTGAAACCTTTCCCAAGGTCAAGTATGTACCCTGTACCTCTTGACATACAAGCACTGTAGTCCATTTCGATCCTACTACCATAAAAATTACAATTTCTCACTTAGAATTCAAGCAAGGAGAATTCCTCTTACCATATATTCCATGTTTGCTGCTGGTGGGAAGACTTTGCCGCGAACTTGGTTATGGTAATCGAGAATGGCGATCATGTCATTCTGCGAGATGTAGCGCTTCCGCCTTGCTTTAGGGATGCCCGCAGACTGCAGTGGCGCGCTCAGGGTTGCTTCAATATCAGTGAAATTATTGGTTGGCGGGGATGAGTCAGTGGAATTGGGTAAGACGACGGTGCTTGCTTCACAGAAGAGGGACAAAAGGATCGCAAGGCTGACTGCAGAAACTGCTATCATTTTGAGGGGTGGAAAATAGTTCACCAGGTTTGTTTTGCTTTAAAGCAAAAAAGTACACAGTTAGGGTCTTTAGAAAAGCAAACAAGCAAGCAAACAAGAAAGAAAGAAAGAAAAAACGAGCCATAGTTTAATGGATTTACAATGTCATCACTTGGGAGCATAGCTTGGGTTGACATTCTCCCAAAAATCTAAATAAATGTCTCTTGAAAAGAAAGCTACGGTAATTTCTACACTATGTAGAAATGTGCTGTGAATCAAAGCCCCTAAAAGGAATTTTCTGAAGCTTAAAAAAAAAAAAACAAAACAAAAACAAAAAAAACACGTGACCACTTATCCTGAAATGAATGAAGACCTTTTGCCCCTTTGACCTAAATGCCTGAACTGAAAGCTTTATTACTGCTTGCCTGTTTCCAGTCAGGAATCTTTAGCAATGCAAGCTGCCCTTGAGACATACAAGGAAAAATACAGGTAGCCACAAAAAAAAAAAAGAATATGCTGATAATATGTCCCAGGCATTCTATACACTGAATGACAGAACACACAAAATCGTCCTAAGGAAAAAAATGTGAGTTGCTTTACAATAATGCATGCAATAGAATCTAGTTGAGCCAAATAGCTTACCTCTGCACAATGCCAAAATGAATACTCTGTTCCTCCAGCAATGTAAGGTTCTTTGTTAAGTTGTAGCATGAACTTGTGTAAAAGGAGTGTGTCTTATTACAAGCTCTCAGAAGCAAAAGCCTGCAAGGTTTGAATGCTGTTGGCTACAGAAGCAGCTAACAGCCTTTATATGTCAGTTTGCAAAGTCCAGAAAGGGCAGGCTCTCCTAGGGTCTCTCAGCCAAAATGCAAGGGGAGGGGTTTGGGACAGAGGGAGAAAAAAAAACAGTGATTGGGTGGCAACTTTTTTATGTGGGTGGTGAGGAAATTGAGTCACACCCACAGCTTACAAAGCACAAACCATAAGACACCCCTCCCCCCTTTTTCTCTGAGCGTCTACCTTTTCTGTGAGTGGTTAATTTTTCTTTCCTACTATTCTCTAGCTCCTGGCTCCCATACCAGAAAGAAAAGGAAAGAAGTGGCGGGGAGTGGGGGGGAGGAACTCAAGGACCGTGAGTTCTTGAAAACACAGATGGCTGAGTAACAAGCAATACATTTTTTTTAAGTGGCAGCAAATGACATAGACGCTGAAGAAAGCAGGAAGATATTAAATCAAGAGATCAACTCTCACAGTTAATCTGGGTGGCCACAAAAATTATTCAGGAGGATGCCAGGCAAGTCAGTAGTAGCCAAGCTATAGTATATGATGTTAGGATAATAGATGCTCCAGTGGCCGTGCTCTCTGTCTCCGTGTGGTTTCATTCCTATAATTTATATTTTCATGCTCCTCTCATTCCATCTTCCCTCAGGTTTTTTCTTTCTCCAAGACAGGGCAGGCAGAAAATTACCTGCCTTCTACCTGCCGTTTGTAAAATTTCTGTGAATTGGCACTCACAGAAATTGACAGCAGCCAAGATAACATCTGTTTCAGGTTTAGTAGCATATAGTTAAAACTCTAGACAAAGAACAGCTGAGCTTCCCCAGCAGCATGTTAGACAGCACATTGGAACCTAGCAGCAGCAGCAGCAGCAATCACAAGGGACTTGCTAAGACGGCACTAGAACAAGGTCCACATCTGGCAGAGACAAGAATGTAAATACTCCTGTAATCTGTAATAAAAAGATCCACCATAAAGCTATGGCTCATTTTCTCATTAACAAAATATGGACCACTTACAATCCGTCAGAATGATATTCCGAGAAACATAAACTGTTCAGCCTGCTTATGGGACTGTCCTCTGCATGTTTCTGCAGGACAAGCACCCTGTGAATTCACAGCCATCAAACCAATGAGCATGTGGCCTACTGGACTGGGAGCCAAGTTTCCTAGGATTTGTTCCCAACCAGATCACCCACAGTCTGTGTGGCCCAATGGTTGCCTTTAACTCTTTGTGGGTAAATTTGAATTCTAAAATGACAGGGAAAACATGTGCACTCTTTGATGAGGCAGACTTAAGGAGACTTCTGATGAGGGCAGTTCATGATCTGAATCAGCTCAGTGATTCAGCCGGAGTGAATTGTGATAAGACAGCGAGGGTAAGTATCCGAGTCCAGGTTTTGATGTGGATTGGACTCCTAACTAAAGTCAAGTCAGTTTAGGAGAACTCAAATTGTAATATTCAGAAGTTTAAACAACAAATTTATAAGCACAATGAAGTTGAAAAATCCACAGAACATCAAGTATGGAAGGTGACTGGTAGCAACAGAAAGTCGAAAAGCAACTAGAGATCAAGCTCAGAGCTTTAAGACTTTAGCAGGAGCTGTCCAGTGAGGCTCACAACCCGTCTGAAAGTCCAGATGATGCTGGAGTGGATCTCCAGCATGTGATAGTAAAGATTGCTGAATCTCTGTCCCCAAGCCTTTTTGAGAACCTAATGTCAGCTAAGGATCCTCTAGGTTTTCTACACATCTGTACTTAGATGCCCAGCGTATAGAAAGGTAAAGGGATTTCAGTGCCTGCACAGCAAACATGAGCCTTTCTTTCTCCAAAGTATCTATGATCTTTCTTAAAAGTTTCATTTAAAAGAACAACAACAATAAAGACCATTGCACTCAAAATCACCTTCTTTGCCTTGTGTTCAAGGAGGTATTGTCTCCTGTTAGAGTTTGGCTTGGGAAAGTTCCAGAGAGGTAAAAATATGAACCCTGTGAAATGTGTCCAAACCATAAATGGATTTCCTTTTAGAAAGAACTGGAGGGTGGAGGAAGAGGAAAGAAAGATTTTTTTTTTATTGAACTTAAGTAGGAGATCACCGTTTAGAGACCAATTACGAGATAGATAGTTGCTTCATCCTGAGACCCTGAGGCATGTCAGTGATTTTAAATGTCTTTCAACACACATGGATGGTGCTGTGGAATTTTTGACTATTAAGAAAACCCACAAGTCTACAGAACTGTAAGAGAAAAGACCTGTGGGAGGAGAGCCGAGAATTCCGCTTTCAAGCAGACATTTTGCCAGAAGTATTTGAAATACTTTGGAAGTGATTTTAATTTTAAAATACTTGCAAAATGAAGAGGCATGCATCCAAGTTGTCAGGAAGAGAACTATTAATGAACAACTAACAATGGGGCAGTTCTTTGCACAGCTCTTCTCGAAAAGGACAAGGGATGCGTTCTGAAACCTTTGGGAAACTGTTTGCCAACAGGGATAAAAGTGGAATGCAGTCATATACTGAAATCAATACGTAGACAATAGAAACACCTTGGAACCTGTGAGGAATTACTTGGGATTCTAAAATTAAAATCAAATTCATGATTGGTGGCCTTGAGTGGCACCTGCTTGGTCAAACCTGTACATGAGTGTGCGTACACACTGTATAGCTTTATCTACTTTCCTTCCCTCCTCCTCTTCAAAATCTGTTCTGTAGACTAGAGACATTGACCTTACCCAGGGAACATATTAGAAATGCGAAATTTAAGGCACCATCCAACGCCTTCAAATTAGAACCTTACGTTTTTCAGGTTTCTCATATTAGTTGGCAAGCATATTAAAATGTGAGAAGTAGAGAAGTACTAGCTAGATTCCTTTGCTATCCTGTTAGCAAAGGAAAAGACACATACATATCCACTGAGCAAACAATGGCAAAGTCCATTTATATGCTCACAAAGAGATTATCAAAGACATTACAAATATACACATATTCTTTAAAGAGGAGAAACAAGTCAACCTCTGTTACATATGAAAAATCTGATGAATCAGGAAGTGTCTGCCTATGGCATAATACCTAGAAATCAATAGTGATCAGAGCCCACGTAATTGCTGTATAAGCCACATTCACTCACACATCCATTTATAGCATGCTTATATAAATCACCCTCAACATCTTTATCTATTATTGATACAGTCACTTTATAGTTTATATTTCCTTCTCTGGTTGTCTTCATCCCACCCTTTCTTCTGCGATGGTTAATTGGGGTTCTCAAATTGCCTGGATTAATAAATAGTCAGCTAGTAAAAGTGTATGTTTTGATTCTCAGCCAATAAATTATTTATTTTCTGTGTTTTAGTAGATACTAATCCCATCCTCTTGCAAACAAAGGGAGAAGCCCAAGTGCTCTAAATATAATTAGAAGTAATGAGTCTTTATGATATGTCTATAATGGTGTTTTCATGTGACATTAGTATGTGAGCTGGTGGCTGAGTAGGGAATTTCCTCCCTCAGTGTAAGAACTCAGACATTATTCCTCTGTTACATGGGTTGTCAGAACTACTGTTTCTCCAGCCTTTGCACTCTGTTATTCAGCCCTCATTCACTTTCTCATACTCCACGCCCTGGAGCTATCAGCTGTGAACTGCAGATCACACCATCTGCTTCATTGTTTCTCCAGATTTCAGACCTAAATACAGCCATGTGATTTAGCATGTCTCTCTACAGACAGACGATTTTGTCCCCATCTGGTCCCGCAGCTATTCAGTCCCAAAGAAACACACAGAGGCTTATAGTAATTATAAACTGTTTGGTCGATTAGCTAAGACTTAGTATTAACTAGCTCTTATAACTTAAATTAGTCATAATTCTTGTCTATGTTTAGCCACATGACTTGGTACCTTTTCTCAGTGCAGCATTCTCATCTTAATTCCTCTGCAACTGGCTGGTTACTGACTCTCTGCCTTTCCTCTTCCCAGAATTCTCTTAGTCTGGTTGCCCCGCTTATACTTCCTGCCCTGCTATTGACCGATCAGCATTTTATTAAACTAATATGAGTGACAAATCTTTACAGTGTACAGGAGCTTTATCCCACAGCAGCTCTCCAGCTTGCAGACAAACTATCAGGACACTTCTTAGTCTCTAAATCAATAAGTAAGCTCCCTGAAAAACCCCATCATATCTCTTATGGATTCTTTCTCTAAAGAGTTCTCACTAAATGTCTTTCTTTAAAAAAAAACTAATGATTTAATTCATCTACAGGTATCTTGATATTGTGTCTCTATGGCACACAGAGTTAAATTCACGTATTTTGCCTGCATTACAAAGACTCAAAGGATGAAAATCAAAACCTTTTAAAACCTAATTTTCTATGGTTATCATTTTTATTTCTTTTTCTCACCATTCTTTCTGCCACAATTACACATAACCACTCTCTTTTCTTTAATAAGGTTACTGAGATACCAAACCCATGTGTGCCTGTGAATTCAGTGTGTGGTAATCTTCGTGACTCAGATAATGCAATTATTATCTATAGCAATATACTTTACAGTTTAGTCAATAGTAAGATGTAACAGTATTACACTTTTAACTTTAGCTAACATGTTACTCTCTTATTTTTTATAAATATCATACCATCTATGCTCATCAGCATATACTTATAATTGAGTTTTTGTAACAAGCTAGCTATTACTCCGCACTAATAAATCAAGAATATATGTATGGAATAATTTCATAAAAGGCAAAGACTTTGCAATAATGGCAAAAAGTTTTGATATTTAATGTATTCAACATTTTTAATTTGTAATTTAAAATGTGTTGAATTCAGAAATGTGTAAAATAAACTTGGGAAATATTGTCAAATTTTAAGTCTTCTGTTTTATTATTATTTATCATACATAATTCAAGATAAATGTAATAAGGTATAATAAGCTATAAACAATATGCATGTTATATAGTTAGAATATATTTTATCAACTTGTCATTCATAAAACATTATAATCATAACAATAATCATAATGCTATGTTTTTAAAATAAATCAACCAA